TCATGTTTGTAAATGTGTGCATGTGTCTGTGCTGACATTTGTGTCTGTGCGTGTGTGTCTGCCTGTGTGTGTGTGTATTAGCAAGTTTCAGAGCGTGAACCTCTCCTGGGGGACTTCCGCTGCTGCTGTTATTCTTTGCAGTGAGATGGAAAGCTTTTCCCAACATCTGCACAACATATCATCACGGCAACAAAAAAAAGGAGGATACTGGGCAGAAAGTTTCCTTTGGAAGAGCCTGTGGATTTCACTTTATAGGACTTTTTCCTCCTTGGTATGCCTAGTTTAGTTGAGGAAACCTGAAAAGTTCCCAAAATGCAATTCATTTATTGAAAAATTTAAAACCGTAAAGGGAAAAATGTGGTGACACACTTCACGTCATAGCAAGAAACACTTGTTAGTACCCTTTAAGGCATTACTGGGATCATTAAAAAGCCATGCTAAGTTAAGGGCAGTAAATTTTTGCAGTACCCTGTGAAGCGACAAATGCTTTACATCAGACTATTACTGGACCATAAATGTGGTTAGTTTTCATTTGACACCTCTTCATCCGACAGTGTGGATTTTTATGTTTCCAAAACCAGTGAGTGATGCAACTTTATTAAATATAATGCTGCGTGCTTTGTTTTTGCGAAAGCTTTTACAGTAGACTGTTAAAACCTGCACACTGTGTTATTGCTTTCATCCAGCATGCCATGTGCTATCTGTTCGCAAACAGCTCTTACACCGGAGCTATCTGGCTGAGAGAGCAACCTGAGGTGTAAGAAGACGAGGTACATACAGCTTGTTATCCTTCCATCCACAGCCCTTTTTTTCCCTTTACGGTTTTTACTCCCCCTTCTCTTTTTCCATTCTCTCCCTCTGTGTTTTTCCTCATTTACCCTGAACTGCAGCAGCACCCCCCACCCCTTACCATCTCAAGCAGTCTCTCTTCTCTTATTTTCCTCATTTGTCTTCAACTAACACCACACTCCCACCTCTCGTTCTCTTCTCTCTTCTTCCTTCTCTCTCTTAACCTGCTGACCTGCTTTTCTTTTTATCTCCCTCTCTCATTCTTCCTCACTTTCTCTTCCCCTGTCTTCAGTCGACCCTCCGGCCTCCCCCCTTCGCTATGACTCTTCCACTTTCCCATGACAGAACCAGGGGCGGGAATCAAATGACCAGCTTCTCTTCTTTCACCTGGTCTCAGAGCTCGAGCTGTGAAAGAAAGCTTTGTCCCCCAAACCCTTCATCGCCTCTGGAGGTATGTCCTGTGTTGTCCATACAGGAAAGGACTTTGGTCTGACTGGAATTTTTGGGGCCCATGGGAAAATGTGTGAGTTTGTGAGTTAAGGCCTTAACTCTCCCTCTGACATCTCCTCCCACAAAGCATGCTGCGTCATTAGGATGAAAACCTCATGCCAGTAATTCAAAAGAAAAGAAAGAGGTGGCTATTATTGATCACATGACAAAGGGGTCATTCGTAGTGATGAATCGACAGATAATGATCCACCAAATGTGTTGCTACAGTCGGCATTATAGAGCTGTATTGGCAAGTTTCAGCTCATCTTTAAGCTGTCTAGCTTAAATTTTCACTCGTTTGGTTCACTCTCATTACACCATTTTTCAACTGCAACCGGCAGATGTTTTCAGTAAAAAACCTGTAAAAACCCACAATACACTACCTCAGTTTAGCACCAAACTGCAGACACAGTAAGCGACTAGCTAGCTGGTGAACATAGTGAAGCATTTACCAGCTAAAGAGCCAGAAGTTTCCCTCAGGAGACCAAAAACAGATGAATGATAATCTTGTTCTGTATCTGCGTGATGTGGAAGAAGCAACTGTTTGCAAACAACTTCACCATATCAAGTTAAAAGGTGATGACCTGTCAATGCTGTGGTAACAACGTTTCTGCTTCCCCCAAGTGGTCAAGTTGTTAATGCACGTTTCACATACAGTCTTATTCTCATTTTGACCCAAAAACAAACAAAAAAATGTGAATGTGTGAAAACAAGTGTGAATAATGCATGAATAAACAATTTGATGTCTTGTCTTGACCGGAAATTCCCCACACACACAAAGACATCAGGTATTTTCATCTTTAATAATTAACTCAGTATGGATTTAGCTTTACTGTTCAGATAAATATATATATCTATATTTCTCTCTCTCTCTTTATATATTTAATATAAACATATAATAAACATTTATATACACAAATATAAAATGTTTTTGATGCTTCTGCATGTGCACTTGTATGCTTTTGTCTGGACCATTACCATGGCTTCAGACACTCCAGAAAACAGTGCTGCATCCATGAACAGGCCATCACAACCTCAGAAAAAAACCTTCACTGTAGAATTAGATCTTTATCCCTTTAGACCTTATGTGTCAACGCTTGCAGTCTGCGCTGAGATTAGTTATTAGTGAGTGTTTCCACCGCAAACGTGTCGGGGCCCCATCACTTTTACATGCCTGTGACCCATAGACTCACTGGGGGGAGCGACCCAGAACGAAACCCAGTAAGGCAGGTCAGATGTCTGTTTGACACGCTCTCTGCAGGGGGGACGGGAGGGGCAGGAGCTGGGTCAGATAGTAAGCAGGTGGGACGAGGCATGAAGAGGCACAACAGGCCTTATTTACAAAAGCTTCAACACACACAAACCTACAGTCAGTGTGGCATTTACTGCCCTTTTTTATGCACCGGCAGTGACACAGGGACATAAGTTTTTGTGTTGTTAGTTGTGGATACTGAATCCCATTTTCAATGTTATATCAATAGACAATGAATTAATTTTCTATTATGAATAAAGAAATTATGTTTGAATACCAGTAAGTACACATTGTATTAAGGGGAAAATGTTGTTATAGTACATGAGGTTAACACATAATGATGTACAATTTGGTTATACTGTGTTTTAAATGGAGCAGTTTCTATGAAGAACCATTGGGGGAGCTATTGTTATATGAAAGTACATCACATCACCACTATAACATGCTGCTCAGAGTTATACAGAAACTGAAATTGGAATGGCAATTATAATGTAACATTTGGCTAGGGTACCGGTAGGGCAAGTATTTCAGGACAGTTAATATAACTCCACATACAGAAATAGAAAAATGAAAAAAGTAAAACAAAAAAATATACTAATGATGAATGCAAAATTAATAATTTTTTTATGTTTTTATTTTCTTCTGACTAATGAAACCCAATATAAGTAGTAAGTTGTGACCATTCTCTTTGGTATAAGCTGGGCCTACACATTTAATTAAACAAATCTTCAAATGAGCATTTATATTACATCAAATACAGAAGATCGTGTTTTATATGTTATATGTTCTATGCAGGAACAAATGTATATTATTTTATTTACCAACAAGTTAAAGACAGACAGAGAGATAAATGACAGACCTCAGAGAGCTTACTAAGTTTATGAACAAACTATTATGAAGCTCCAATAAAATAAATCAAGACAGACAGACATTTTGGATTTGAGAGGGGTGCGTACACAATATGTTAACATCAATCACGGTTTTACATTCTGTTGTCGATTTCTGAAAGATGTTTTCTGTTCAAAATTATCTTTATAAAAATTCTCATAAAAGTCATCAAGGTGATAAAACTGTAACTAAGGGCCTATAGGGTCACATTAGGGTTAATAAACAAAAATGATTGTGGAATAAATGCAAAAAAGTACAGTGGTGAGACGTCTATATACGGACAGATACAGACAGTATACAAAAGATTGCAGACTGGATCTTTGACGGATTTTATTTTTATTTTTATATAATATGACATATGACATACAGATCTGGTTACAGATCCATAAACCTGTATACCATTAGCTCCTTTAGGATAGAATTCTTTTTTGTCCAGTCTTGAAAAAACTGACATGCCAACAACATACAATTTACACAATACAAAATCCAACAGAGCCAAACATGCAAAAGCATCCAGACAATTGATCTGTCTCCCAATGTATAATTCATCATTTAATACTTAATACCAACTGTATAAACATTCATGCAGTGGGACATAAACACAGCTGCAAGAAAGGTCAGTAAGGTGCCTGTACTGCATCGCCCACGGTACTGTGTAGTACTGTATATTTATTTATTTTAGAAAAGTAGAGAAGCAGTAATGGTAGTATTGAGATCTTTTACTCAAGTAGCAATACCACACAAAATACCCCAACACAAGTAAAAGTCCTGCATTCAGTTATTTGTATTTGCAATATTAAGTAGCAAGTGTTAGCAGCAAAATGCACATAGTACAATCAAAAGTAAAAACTAAATAAACTTCACTCTTGTAAATGTAGCAGAGTAAAGAAGCCAATATATCCCTCTAAAATGCAAAGTGCATAAAAGTATAAAGTATCATTAAATGGAAATAAAAGTAAGTAAGTACAATACTTTAGTGAATCTACTTAATTACGTTCCACCACTAAAGAAAGAAAGTGAGATAAATGAAAATATGAAACTACTCTTTGACCTTTTGACAGTACAAACATGGAATAATGTAATCTGACCAGTGTAGGTTACCCTTTATTTTGTTTTCTTTTGTGTATACAAAAGTTATTTTGAGGATTAACCTTATGTAGTATCATACATTTATCTCCTTAATCTACTCTTAAGTTGACACACTGGCAGGCTGCAGAGGGTTATATTTGAAGTCCCTTATGGGAAAAACAAATTTGACCTCCTACCCTTCCGACTCGAGTGTAGCTTATCGGTATTGACTTTCTTTGTTGGGAAGCTGATAATATCATGGTGAAGTTACACAAGGACTTAGGTTGTTTTGTAACTGCTGCACCTCCAACATTTTGTTTGTGTGTGTGTGAGAACAGTAACGTAAAACTAACCACTGCTATGGTGATTTAATATGACAATTATGGGCCAAATGCATAAAATCTTGCATAGATTAACTTGTTGTAACTGTGTGACAGAAAATGTGACTGCTCACATGCACGTGCCTCAGCTTTTTGTTTACTCTGCCCCAAATAGATCTTTGGTTCAAATTAAAGTTTTGTAACTCAAGTTAAGTTGCTGGCTGTTGCAACACCATGGGGTTATTGAACTGAATGAACAAATTCTAAAGCAGGATAAATATAACCATGTCATATTCTGAGTGGTAAGAGCTTTGAAATACAATTTTTATGTTTTTATATTTGAATTAATGTAAGGGGAATCTCATAAATTGCTTAAAATGGCATTATAGGGATATTTAAAGCTGTCTTTTTCTTTTTGTTTACTCATGCTGCTGCTGAATGATAAGAGTTTGTGTTTGTTTTGATCAGTTTGATAAAATTCAGTGCAACACTGTCACTGTCAGAATTGAATAAGTACGCATTATGATCTTTGGCACATATTTTCAGTCTCTTCAAGTAACATGTTTTATATTTGGGTAAAGACATTATGCCCACTCATGTTTCCCGGTTTTCAACATGTACGTGCCTCAAAGCTATTTTTTCCTTCTAGGTTTGAAACAAGGTTGGAAGCTGTGAGAAAGAAGCACCTGTTTAACCTCCATGCTGATATTTGCTAGTCTGTCATTGGTCCAGGAGAGAGAGAGAATTAGTATAAACACTAAGAGTGAGGCAGCAGTCGAGTGTGACCTTCTCAATCATCCAGGGCAAGCATGAAGTTGTTAATTCTGGTGGCTTTGTTCGGGGTCAGCCTCGCCCAGCACAACCCCCACATCAAGCATGGCAGGACCGCCATCGTCCACCTGTTTGAGTGGCGCTGGGCGGACATTGCTGCAGAGTGTGAGCGCTTTTTGGGTCCCAATGGTTTTGGTGGAGTCCAGGTATGACTACACAGCTTCTCATTCTCAATGAGATAATATATATCTGATCATAATAATGTCGGTTTTGCACACAGGTGGCTACAAAGGGTAATAAAAGCAAGCTGTTTATTTAATTCAAATAAAAAAAATTAAATATCAGTATATTGCCCACCAGCTTGTGATCACTTTATACTGAATTATATTAAATGGATCAGAGAAGCAAAATATCAGCAGGTACAAAGGTGATTTCAGTTGTTTCTTTCATTGCATTTCAAACTAAAACTTTTGGAAAAATAAACAGAAGGAAGGTGATGCTGATATAAAATACAAAATAAGAATAAAAATCTTGCAATATAATTTGGATATACAGGATTGTATAAGGGTTCAGTAGTCTCTCGTTGTCATCTGTCTCTTTGCTTTCATTTTCCAGTTATTTAAAATTGCACGTCCATTAGGTTTAATGACTCACAAGAGACAGATTTTAAAAAGAGTGGCAAATATAAAAAAATACAAGAAACAGTGATATTCTAACTTTTAGTGTAGATCAAGCTCCAATAATGCTACATTTCCTATAATACACCTGTATAGCATCACTCTCCCTGATTTTTGTTTTCAGACTATACAACTGTTTTCACAGACTTCAATAGTGCTACTTCTGATGATTAAACTAAACTTCAAACCTGCTGGAGTGCACCTTTAATTGATTGTACACTCAATATAATCCTATTTAACAACAATCTTCTGTCAGCAGACAATCCCTGTGTTAAAAGTGATGATTACTGTAATGTCTTCCCTCTGTGTTGTTCAGATCTCCCCTCCAAATGATCACATTGTGCTGAACAATCCCTGGAGGCCCTGGTGGCAAAGATACCAGCCAATCGGCTACAACCTGTGCTCCAGATCTGGCAGTGAGAATGAGCTGAGAGACATGATCACCAGATGCAACAACGTTGGGGTAAACTACATGAAAACAATGATTTAGTGAAAAGCATTAGGAACATTGTTCTATGCTTGACAACGCCTCGTAAATCTACAGCCCTACAAGACAACAAATTCTTACCAGATACATTACATAACTTTATAGCTTTATGCATAATTATGAGTTTTATAACAACAGGCACCTGGCATTTTAGAACAAAAGACATTTTTTGAGTGAAGAGCAACAATTGGATGAATTAATAACTCTGTCTTAAGGGACTATCATTCACATTTTAGACATTTAGGTGCTGCTATTTTGTTTAGAATGATATGCCTTACTTAATGGACCACCAACATTGCAGTAAACAGAGCAGCTTTGACATATTCCTATGACCTGAGAATGAACTGAAGGTGCTAAGAAAAGGAGTGAAAGTGAAGAGGGATGAAAGCGAGGTGTTGATTAGTTGTGTTGCACCTACAACCCTGCATCTACCCCACAGGTCAACATCTATGTGGATGCTGTCATCAACCACATGTGCGGCGCCGGCGGTGGAGAGGGAACTCACTCTTCATGTGGAAGCTGGTTCAGTGCTGGCAGGAGGGACTTCCCCACCGTCCCCTATAGCCATTTGGACTTTAATGATAACAAATGTAGGACTGGCAGTGGCGATATTGAAAACTATGGTGATAGCAATCAGGTAATGAATGTCACTTTTTCCTTATTACCATTCCACAGTACATTTTTACTCCATTTGAGGGTCCATACAATACAGTAAACCCATTGTTTGACTTTGAGGAGTTTTAAAACAACAGTATAGAATAATTGTATTATGATGTAAATGCTTATTTGCTGCTCTAGGTGCGCGACTGTCGTCTGGTTGGTCTGTTGGACCTCGCCCTGGAGAAAGAGTACGTCAGGGGCAAGGTGGTAGACTTTATGAACAAGCTTATTGACATGGGTGTGGCCGGATTCAGAGTGGATGCCTGCAAGCACATGTGGCCCGGTGACCTTTCTGCTATCTATGGTCGTCTCCAAAACCTCAACACTAAGTGGTTCCCTGATGGCTCCAGAGCCTTCATCTACCAGGAGGTAAGTTTTTCAAAATTGTTTACTTGATTACCAAAACAATAAAATATATCAAAAAGAAAAGAAAAAAGTGCCACACAACCATACATTTCCATGAAATACCTGTACTGTAGTGTTGAACTGAACTGAACCAAAAGGCTGGATTACTTGAGTTGGAGGAAAACGTGCAGCATGTGAACAAAAATCAGCTGCCAGTAAAACACACCCACATGACCAATATATTTGAGACAATAGGTGCAAAACAGCATTCAGCAGAGTCATGGGAAAAGTGGCACAGAAATTAAGATGGTAAAAACAAACACACACTGGGAGCAGATGTTAACATTCGACACATTTCCACAGTAGTTGGCATGACAAGCAGGTAAATACAGGTAATAGTGATACTGTAAAAGGATGAAAAAAACGAAGGCTGCAAGAACAGCCTCTGATCTAAAAAATAAGAGTGCTCAGTCTTCACTAACAACATGAATGTTTAACAGCAGAAATGTGGTTCTTGTTACTGCTGAATCAAAACAGCTTACTTGTCAAATTACTTTTTGTCAACCCACACATGACTGATATGGCGTGGTTAATCTAAACCATATCTACTTTGAATAGTGTGGCTGATGTGACTTATGTGTTGATTTCCCTCTAGGTTATTGATCTCGGAGGTGAGCCCATCTCATCTAGGGAGTATTTCCATCTGGGAAGGGTGACTGAGTTCAAATATGGTGCCAAACTGGGAACTGTCTTCAGAAAATGGAATGGCGAGAAGCTGTGTTACACCAAGTATGTGTGTTTTTGTTTGTATGCCTAAGTCACATATCAAAGTGATTTATTTTTTTAACCAAGAGATAGCTCCATAAATTGCTGGATTGGACGACTAGGTTCTTACTCACTAACTGTGTTTCTAGAGACAAACTGTTTGACCTAATTATTCGTGAATCATCACTGACTAGAACTGGTACATTTTAGAGTTTCTGATTTAAATACTTTAATGGAATTATGAATAAATACTAGAATTAAATAAAAGTGTACTCCTCATTAAAAAGTGAAAAAAAAAATCTTTTCTTGTTTGCAGGAGCTGGGGAGAGGGATGGGGTTTCATGCCCGACGGCAATGCTCTTGTCTTCGTTGACAACCATGACAACCAGAGAGGCCACGGTGCCGGTGGTGCATCCATCGTTACCTTTTGGGATTCCAGGCTCCACAAGATGGCTGTCGCCTACATGCTGGCCCACCCTTACGGAGTAACCAGGGTGATGTCTAGCTTCCGCTGGAACCGCCACATTGTCAATGGAAAGGTAGATTCTGTTTTACTATAATAAAATCCAATCTGTAGTGTACATTTGTTTAGTTCTTTCTATTAAACTCATTTATCCATCATTATCTTGTAGGATCAGAATGACTGGATGGGCCCTCCCAGCCATGGTGATGGGTCCACCAAGTCTGTTCCTATCAACCCTGACCAGACTTGTGGAGACGGCTGGGTGTGTGAGCACAGATGGCGTCAGATCAAGTGAGTCCTCAGAAAGCAAGAGACATGGAACTGTTGACCTTGCACAGAGCTCACTTATTCACTTCTGCTTGGTCATTTAGGAACATGGTTATTTTCCGTAACGTGGTCAATGGACAGCCTCATTCCAACTGGTGGGACAACCAAAGTAACCAGGTTGCCTTTGGACGTGGTAATCGTGGTTTCATTGTCTTCAACAATGATGACTGGTAAGGATTATTTTCTTATTAATATAATTGGTACTGACAGTATTAGTGTCAGTTAAAATAGTAGTAATACTAATTTAACCTACCAAAATTAAACAAACCCACCCAGATTAAACAAATGCATAGGACTGGCTGCAGATGCATGTCCCATTAGTTAAAACAAATAGTATTACATGTATTAGTATACATAAAATGTATAACAAATAGTTATAAAAACCTGTTAATATTTATTATTCTTGTATTCTTCTTGTTGAAGCTTGTTTTTTCCCATCACATAAAACTGCCATTCTCTCTCTTAGTGATACCCCATTAGGTTACACCTCCAGTTTTAATAGAAAATACAGCTAAATAATATATTCATTCTTTTATTGTTACATTTTGGTGGTTTTAAAAATAATATGTACCATGTTCTCACCTTCAGGGACCTGGATGTCACCCTGAACACTGGCATGCCCGGTGGCACCTACTGTGACGTCATTTCTGGACAGAAGGAAGGAAGCAGGTGCACTGGGAAGCAGATCCATGTTGGCGGTGATGGTCGTGCCCACTTCAAGATTAGCAACAGAGATGAGGACCCCTTCGTTGCTATTCATGCTGATTCCAAGCTGTAAAAACATCCTGTACAACTTCAAATAAATATTACTTTTCAACTGCAATGTTGAACTTGACTTTTTACTGATATAATTTGAAAAACAATTATTTTTGCCATAGATTTTTGGTTTAAACTTTCAGATCGATAGAAAAGAAAGCCGTACGTTTCTAGTCACAGTTTTTAGGAAAATGCATTTGTAACCACACCCAATAGTGTCACTTTGATGTGCACAGAAAACATTATAGAGGCTCACAGCACTGCGGCTTACTTTCCCATTGAGCATATGCATTTACCATCATTGTATGTGGACTCCCTCCTGAGCACGAAATACATGGAAAAAGCATAAAAACAAACCTGATAAAATTGTTAAGGTCTATTGTGTAATAAACTGTTCTCTCCATTCATAGCAATTGCCATGTGGGAGAGGGGTTGTATCATATGCAAAGTGACATCTATACTTGCACACTTAAAGGGCAACATACGTGAATCACCCATATGCAGAAAATCTGTCCGTCTGTTAGTAAAATCTGGTCAGATCAGGCATGAATAATTACAGTATATAATGATACTGTTTGACCATCATCTGTTCAAAAAGCAGCGTTTTTCAGAATTCAGTATCCTTAAAAGCCCTTGCAATGACAACTGTTCTACTGCCATCTCTGTTACTCAATATATTAAAAGGCTAACAGACTGCCAGAAACTTTGAACACTAAAGGCCAAGGTAAAAAGAGTTACAGCTGTAATAATGATGAGAACAGTAATTTACTTCTCAATTGATTAACTTAAGAAGGAGTCAGACGTAATGTAATTTTAAACTTTTGTTAGAAAGACTTAAATGGACAGACTATTAAGCCCACAAATCTGCCATCACTACAAATTCAGCAATTTTTCTTCTTCGGTTTTACACAGATCTAGCCACCGATCATGGATTTTGTAGGCTAAAAAAACAAGCAGTCACTAGCAGATTAATATCATAGGTTTAAGCTAATGCTAAGCTAAATGCTAAGTGAAAACACAAGATTACTCTTTAATATTTCCAATTTAATATACAGTGAAAAACCCATTCTCTACACTTTTGCTCTTGTATTTTAGGTTTTGTGAAGGCTAAAGATTCTGTATAGACAGTGTCATACATACTGCTTCATGATTAAATGGTTTTTAATATTACTTTTCAAATGATATTTAATTAGACAACTACACAGTCAGAGAGTATCCTGAACAAGAGCTGTGATTCCTGTGTCCTTCCTGGATTGTGTATTCTTGTCCTCCACTGGGACACCTCCTGGCCATCACACCGCAGTCACTTCAGTTTCACCTGAGTGCAACGCTGGCATCCATCATTAGGGCAGCGTTGGGGCCCAAAGTGCCAGTGAGTCAAATCTCCATCCTTACTTCCTTCCTGTCTCCACCTTCCCTGACCACCTACTGCGTCCCCGTCAGCAGCCCTGGACCGGTGACACCAGAGTGCCAGCCACCAGAGGTGAAACAGCAAAGGTGATGACTGACAGAATATTCAGCTCATCTCTGTTGTCATGGCAACGTGATCCAAGACTGGTGAAAACCTGGGAAATTCTTTAACGCCCCATAAAAAGAATAAGTTTAGCAATAAAAGAAAAAAAGGGTCTTACTTACTCAGTAAAGGCGGTGTAAACACTGGCTGATCACATGGTTTGTAATGTGTCCACAGATAGAAGTGTTATCAACTTTACAATCAAATCACACAGATTATAATAGAAAGTAATGGTAACATATAGGTTACAGTGCACACCTGCATTCTTCTCACGTCGGAAAGTATGTTAAGCTTTTGCACTCCAAAGTTGTGAATTGCTGTTACATTTATGGCATGTGATGAATCTTTGTTGAGCGAGAAAGTCAGAGTGACAGAAAGTGCAGGAGAAGGATGGAAGGAGACCTTAACATTGGACTAGCCTCAACATATTGCAACTGCTAAATTATTGACCCTCTCTCCATCTTTTGGTCCGGCAGCTGTGAGGGCCTGTACCTTCCGATTAGCTGCAGAGATGTCAGCGTAGCAGACCGGGGTCTTTGGTCCTGTCATCCTCACTGATGCTTTGTGACATGGCTGTCAACGGTGTCCCCATCCTGTTTCATATTTCATATGGTGCACCAGACCTGCCTGTCACATCACCCAAGGAGAAAGACAGTCATCAACTTAAAGAAGAAGCAAGTGAGATTTTGGATCTATTCAGCTGTCTGACACTGCTCTGAGAAAGTCAAAAAGACAGTGTAGGTGAGGTTCATGCTCTGCTCTGATAAAGACAAGGAACAACATTTCATTTTTTTTTAACATTATCAATTAAAATCTAATAATTTACAGCCTAAATAGTTACCTAGCTGTTTAAACACTAGTTTAGTACACTATAATGGCGGTTTGGGTGCTGAATATTTTTTTGAATGCTCTTGCAGTAATCATGAACACAACATATGATTCCTTTGAGCAATGTGGTACCTTTTCAGCTTCATATCACATGGGGGCAGTATTGAAGCAAGAACTTGGACACATTAGCTTTTCCAAGGCAGGATTAAAAAGGACCATGAGACATTTTGCTCTCTGTGAAATGTATTTCATAACTGTTTGAAATTCAATGCAGAATTATTCAAGATGCGAAAAGAATTCATGATTGATGTTTAATTCTACAAAATTAAGCATGAATTATATATATTGTCAATGACAGTAAAATAGGTGAATGATAGATGACCTTATTGCTCATACAACCTTAATACATGCAAAACTGAATAATGGTGGGCTGTCAGTGTTTGCTCTCAGATGATACAGACTCAGCCTTCAGTGTCCATTAATGCGAGCAGTCCATTGTTTATTTGTGTGATATTAACACCACATTTCTCAACTCATCACTCTGACGAAGAACTCAGTGCAGTGGGGTATTGATCCCAAATTCCTGACAGAATCTTCATCCATTTTCTGTTCACTGGCGACTCCTGTCAAGCCTCCAGCTTCCTCACCCAATAGCTGTCACATCATATCTCTGTATAGAGGCACTTTTACCATAGCAACGTGCTATGGCAACTTGAACATCTACAAATAGGCAACCTTAAATGCTTTGAAAGGTGATTCGGAAAAAAATAGGAATTAAGATTTCACAGTTCACTTCTCTAGTTAATCTAATCTGAACAAACCTGGAGAAAACTTGGTCTTCAAGAAAAAAAGGAGCTGTATGTTGGTGTATAAATTAAAGATAGTGCTGTTTTATGTGCCAGCCATAATACAAATATTCTTTAGACCAGCATAGGTCCATGGAGAAAGTGGTGTGATACAGCTTTTTTAACTTTCTTTTTACTTTGACTATTTATCACCCTAATTTCCCCTGTGGATATATTTTGGCTTTGATGCAAGGTATCACGTACATGCAGTATTTTTATTATTTTTTTCTGTGAAAACATCTAAGATATCATGTTTTCTAAGTGGAAAAGAGAATACTTTTAATTCATTGTTTTTACTTTTTTATATATAGTTTTAAAACTCATACTGTTTATCTCTCCTTATTGTATTTATAACAATGCAGTGATAATGTTTTCACGCTGCCTTTTCGGCCAGGTCTCTCTTAATCTAAATTCATTTTACGTAGTTTACTTATATAAAGGAAACAGAAATTAAATGAAAGAAACTAGAGTACAAGTCACATATGCTGAACTGAACCTCACTGCTTTTGTACTGTACTGAAAAAGTCTCCATCTCCATACTTTGTAGTATGTAGTCAGTCAAAATTGAAACATTTCCCCCAAAACACACTTTTCAGATTAATCTTATGAAAGAGAATAGGCAATAGAGTGAAATGATGTTGATACATTAGTACATTGGTCTGTGTCACAGTTACCCTTTTCCAACGCCTTTGCTGTCCTTGCAGTGAGCTTATTCATACCCCCCACCAACAGATTATACAGCAGCACACAGAGCAACGTGAAGGTTGGCCTTTTGTGTCCTCATACATTTCTCTGCTTTAGTCTTTAATGATATCATTGCCTGGCTAAGTCATCTTTTATAGCTGACACCCCACAGGGTGGCCAATATTTAGTCTATGGTGTGCATGTGTGTGTGCATGCGTGTGTGTGGTTTGTACCCCAGGCATCCTAAGTGTAGAGTGTGACAGGCCCTACTTAGCCCTGAATCTTATACACAGACTATGAGGCTAAAATACCACTATGTGAAACGGGCACCCAGCACAACTTTGAAATAATTGAGACAAACTCATTCAGTCGCGGCTCATTTAATATAATGAGCAAAGTGAGCTGTTCAATTTGCATACTGATAAGATGCCTCCATCAGGATACATAGCGCCCTCTCATAGATATTCACTGTGGATATTACATTCAATCTGAGCATGGATTTACTTTACAAACACACTAAGAGAAGTGCAAACTAAGGCTTTCAATTAGGCCATTGCCAGGACTTAATCACCTCAACGGTAAATTGGGCAGGGGGTCAACAGCTTCCTGAGTCATGTTGCCAATACAAGTGCCTTAGACACGAGATTTAACACAGATCAAAAAGATTGGAAACACAAAGTACATTTGGTCATTGGAAATGTGTTCTGAAAAGAAATCCTGTCTATTTCTGCAGCATTTATATTTCATGTGTTGGCTTTGGGATCTTATGTGATGACCCCTTTCAGCTGTTGCCCTTGTGTTTTCTTTATTGATCCCTGTTATTGCTGTGGAAGTCCCCTGCTGCTTATCTTTGCTCCCTTACATTATCTCCCCATTCCAGCAGATTCCAATTGCACAGGTGTTCTGCCTGGCTGTTTGTATTGCACATGGTGGTATAGCTGAGACCAAAACAGTGAGGGCAGCAGCGCTGGCCGGTCTAAATCGTATGTTTGTGCAGTGGCTCCAGGCACTGCTGGAAGAATTAGACCAGCGACGCAGCCCACGGCCTGGTTCCAGAGCCCACAGGCCTGTGGAGCAAGACTTTCTGAAAGGGAGCAGATGGTGACATGAATAGTGCAGCAGGTCCCGTCCACCCCCACCCATTGCCTTGCGTGCAGCACATTACCTCAACAAACGCCTCTCATAATTGATGTGCTG